ATTTAATCCTCATAATAATATTCACATTTTACAAATGAGGAAATCAATCTACGTAAAGGTCATTAATCTGGCCACAGGTGGAATCCAGTGGAGCTCAGGTTCGGACTCAGGCAATCTGGCCTCTGAGTTCATGGTCTTAACTCCTATGCTCTACTGGCTTCATGTTCTTTTTAAAAAATTAATTAATTAATTAATTAGTTTACTTAGAGAGAGTGCACGCATAAGTGGGGGGGAGGGGCAGAGGGAGAGGTAGAGAGAGAACACTAAGCTGACTCCATGCCCGACACAGAGCCCAATGCGGCTTGATCTCAGGACCTTGAGATCATGACCTGAGCTGAAATCAAGAGTCGGACACTTAACTCACTGAGCCACTGAGCCATGCCTTACTGTTCCTAAAAGAAAGAAACAGATCTATACAGATAGGGAAATTCTGCAAGATACAGTAAGTGAAAAAAATCAAGGTGCGCTATATCCAACGTGGCATCCCGGACTGGATTCTGGAACAGAAAAAGGACATTCACCTAAAATCTGGTGAAATCCAGATAAATTCTGTGGGTTGGTTAATAGTATCATACCAATGTGGGTTCCTTAGTTGTGACCCATGACCGTGGTAACATGTCCCTATTAGGGGATACCGCGAGGGGCACTGTGGGAACCTTCTGTACTATCTTTGTAACTTTTTTGTAAATCTAAAATTATTCCAAAATAAAAATGTATCTTTTTTTTTTTTTTAAAGATTTTATTTATTTATTTGCGAGAGAGAGAATGAGAGACAGAGAGCACGAGAGGGAGGAGGGTCAGAGGGAGAAGCAGACTCCCCGCTGAGCAGGGAGCCCGATGCGGGACTCGATCCTGGGACTCCAGGATCATGACCTGAGCCGAAGGCAGTCGCTTAAACGACTGAGCCACCCAGGCGCCCAATAAAAATGTATCTTAAAACAGTAAAACAAAAACAAAACACCCAACAACCAAGGTGCCTAACTGTCTAGAATATGTTACCATTTGTGAGGAGGCGGAAAAGGATATTCTCCTCCTTCATTTGGGTAACTATGTACATTTGAAGTGCACAGAAAATCTGCAGAGAGAGTAAGGGGTTTCCTGCTCTAGGCAGACTGCTTGGGAACAGGAATCAGGAGAGGAAGGGAGACCAAGTTTTTCACCATTAACACTTTTGCGTTGTCTGATTAAAAAAATAATAATATGCGTGCATTTTTTTTTTTTTTTACTTTGGAAAATGATTTTTCTTTTTTTCTAGAAAGTAAAACATTGGAAAAACTGCCATCCGTGTCCTCAAGTCTTGAGGCTGGACACTGGGGCTTCAGTTGTAGAACTCCTCAGGCTCAGGTCTCCTTTGACAGGAAATGTTAACCAAGGCGCCCAAGCAATTTTCTGCTATTCAGCTTTCCAGCTGTATGCCATTTTTTAGCGAAGAAACTCAAATTTTACCTCCACCTCTGTCTAGTTCTGGGGCCCCCTGGGCAGGTGTTCCATATGTGCAACCATCTTCATCTGCTTATGTCCACCTGCTGGAGAAGGATCATCCCTCCAGATGGTGTGTCTGCCTTGCATCTCCCTGGGCTCACTGGGCCAGGAGCTGCGGGGCTGGGGCTGGCCTCTCCTCCCCTCACACATGGACGTGGACATGGCTCTACTAATCTATGATCATATTCTTGATATTTACTGGTTTTTTTTTTCCTGCTTATTCTATCAATCACTAAGAGAAACATGTTAAAATCTACCACTATGATTGTGGATATGTTTTTATTTCTGCCCACTTTTTAAATTAGTATATGTAAAGTGTACAATTTGGTGGGTTTTAATATGTTCACAAAGTTGTGCAACCATCACTGCTATGTTTTTATCACCCCCAAAAGAAACCTCATACCCATTAGCCATCACTCCTCCTTCCTCACCTCCTTCCAGCCCCTGGCCCCCCACTAATCTACTTTCTGTCTATAGATCTGCCTACTCTGGACATATTTCTGTTCACTTTTGCTTTATAAACTTTGAGGACAAGTTATTAGGTGTGCAGAAATTGCAAATCCATTTTCCTGATAAATGGAACTTTTTTCGTTACTGAGTGATCTTGGCCTTAAAGTCTATTTTCTTTTGTAAAGTCTTACATTCATATAACCACACCAGCTTTCTTTTGGTTAGTGTTTGCACGGTCTATCTTTTCTCAGCCTTTTACTTTCAACCTTTACGAGAGGTCTCTTAGAAACAACATGTAGTTGAATTTTTAAACTCTTTTTTGATAGTCTTTATCTAGAACTTTTAGTCCATTTACATCTAATATAACCTCCAGTGTAACTGGTTTAAATCTCCCATCCTATAATCTACTCCTTTTCTGCTTTGTTATACTTGTTCTGCTTGTTTTTTGCCTCCATTCAAGGGACTGAGTGTGTACCATTATGCTATCAAGGTACTGTAATGTGATAATATATATTTCTATATAATAAAATGATTATATAATACATATGAATTGAAAATATGTAATATATATATTTTGGTCTTTGACCTCCATTCTTGGCACAGAGTTCCTAAAACTCTTGTGATTTCCTAATAGAGGTGACAGGAGTGTCTTTTGTTGTCATTACAAGCCCCTTTCCATCATACCTGAGTTTATGATAATGAGGTGACTCTTGGTGGTCCCCCTAGAGAGCTTCAGGATGGGGTCTGGTTGCCAGAAAACCAACCATGTGATTCGTGATTAGAGGGTTAGAACTTTCAGCCCTAACCCCTCACCTCTGGGCGAGGGAAGAAGGAGCTGGAGGTTGAGCTAATCACCAAAGGCCAATGATTTAATCATTCGTGCCTACATAACGGAACCTCCATTAGTCTCTGGGGTTCAGAGAGCTTCCAGTTGATGAATAAATATATCCATGTGCACAAAGGGTGGTGGTGTGCCCCAACTCCACTGGGACAGAAATCTCTGAGCTTGGAACCCTTCCAGAGACCTCACCCAATGTACCTTTCTTCATCTGGCCGTTCATCTGTATTCTTTATAATATCCTCTGTATCCTTTGTAAGCCAGTAATCATGTTTCTCTGAGTTTTATGAGCCATTCCAGAAAGTATTCAGCTTGTTGCAGGGTGGGGGTATGTGTGGGAACCTCTGACTTTGTAGCCAAGTTAGACAGAAGTGAGTATCCTGGGGACCCATTACCTGCCAACTGACACCTGAAGTCAGGGCAGTCTCGTTGGACTGATCCCTTAACCTGTGGAGTCTGATGCTAACTCCAGGGTAGACAGTGTCATAACTGGATTAAATTATTGGTACCTGGAGAGTTGGAAAATTGGCTGATGTGGGGGGGAAAAAAAACTGCACACAGTTGGTATCAGTGTGTTGTAATCAGAAAAATAGTTTTCCTTTAGCCAAGCTCTTCTGCCATCATGGAATGGAGATTCAGGCCCTAGCATGTGCCTCTCAGCCTCCAACCTGGCAGTCCAAGCGCCAGGCCGTCAGTGATAAATGAGTTTACAAAGCGTCAATGAATGAGCGGTGTTCTGTCCGGAATCATTAGCGCTTGGGCACTGGAATATCACGGTGGCCCATTTGGTGGCCCCAGATCAAGGGGTCCCAGAGAGAAACGAGCCTTTCTTCAGGGAGCTGATTTCAGCCGACCTGAGCTCCAGTCCTGACTTCGCCACTAGCTTGCTGTGTGACCCTGGGCACCTCGCTGCACCTCCCTCAGCCTCATTTTTTCTCATCTGTTCGATAGGGAGGCTGGACTAGGTAACCAAAAGCTCAGTAATAATAGCTAACACTTGCTGTGTGTACGTACCAGGTACTATTCTAAGCGATCTGCAGATATTAATTCATCGAATCCTCACCACAAACTTATGAGCGACCTACGGTTACTTCTCTCACTTTTACTCGGGGAGCAACTTAAGCACACAAAGGTCAAGTGACTTGATCAAGGTCACTTAGGAGGTAAGTATTGGGTTAGGATTCACACCTGGGCAGTCTGGCTCTGGAGCCAATGCTTACAACCACTAAGACTTCTGCATCCATTGCCCAGATCACATGACAACAAAGGAAACCCAAGGAAAACAGAATTCCAGCACTTGGATCAAAATTTCCTCTTTTCTCAGGCCCTACAGTCCTTATTAGGGTGCTACTTTAGTCTCACAGAAGTGTAACTATGGTTCTGAACTTCAGCCTCCATGCAAGCCCATCTCTCACCCCATCCAGGAGGAGGGGGCTTGCGTGGAGACCCAGGGAGTTTCTTCCAACAGAAGAGAGAGGTCTGAGATTCCCGGGGCAAGAGGCAGCCTCTGATTGGGAAGGAGGCTGTGGGGGACAACAGAGCTGATGCAGCCCATAGGGCCCACACCAAATCCCATCTCTGTTTTTGCTTTCCCAAAACCAGCAGAGGGCCTGGAGTGAACGTTCTAGATAACTGTTTGCAGGATGAATGACAGTTCGGGGGCTCCAGGGCCATTCCGATCTGGCTTACTATCCTGGGTTGCTCATTGTTCAATGCGTGCCTCTGGCAGGAGTCAATCTCTTCCCAGCACACTTAGAATAAAATCCAAACCCTGCTCTCTAAGGGGTATGTGATCTGACCCCTCTGACCTCATCTTTAACCACCTTTGGCCTCGATCATCTTGTCCCGTTATACTGGCCTTCCCTGGCTTTCTATAAAACTCATGCCCCAGGGCCTTTGAACTTGCTTCTCTCCCAAGATACGTGGCTCACTCCATCACTTCATTAGGGCTCAAATGTCACCTTGTCAGAGAGGCCTTCCTTGATCACTATATCTAAAGAAGCCCCGCCCCCCCACACCTCCATCATACCCCCCAGTTTGGGTTCTTCCAGAGCACTGGTCACCGTCCGGAACCATGCCATCTATCTGTTTACACATCCATCATCCTGCTCCTCCACGCTAGAACCTAAGCTTCACGAGGGCTTTGTCCTGTCCACTGCGTGTCCCCCGTGCCTATGATCACCGCGGGAGCAGCCTTCTTCCGACCTCCCAGGCCAGCCCCTCCCCTTACCTTCGTGCTTCTGGAACTCCTCCTCAGAGAAGCTGGTATCTTTGTGCGAGAGGTTGGTCATGAGCTGCTTGTTCTCCTCCTGCAGCTGGGCGATCTGAGAAAGGAGGTCCTGCGCCTCCCCCCGCCACACGTCCTCCACCAGCTCCAACTCCTGCGAAGGCGACGGGCCGGCGTGGGGTCACAGCTGCCCAGGCAGCAGCCTCATATCCACCACCCCCCACCCTCGGCAGCGGCTCAGGCCTGCCAGGGCTCCCCCTGAGGGCAGGCGCACCGAGAACAGGGCCACTACTAGGCCACATGGCAACTCTGCAAGAAACAGAAGGTGCCCTTATTCCGGGCAAGGCCTGCATTTGTGCTTTAGGACTCGGCCAGGTTTAGAATGGCCTCAAGAGCCGCAACTGTACCTCGTGACTATCTAGACGGAGAGAGCACGCGGATGAGCAGCCCTGCACCATGGGGACCCTGACATTCCCAACCTCTCTGGGGAGGTCACGGCCCTGAGCTGTGGACAGACCCTGAGTCAGGACCCACCTGTCTCCAAGGGACAAAGGGGCAGCAAAGACCCCGGGGATGCCACCTGGCCCAGTGCTCCTTATATGTCTGATACTGGCATCTCTTCAAGGGATCTTGGGCAACCAATTCACTTTACAACTCTGAGCCTCAGTTTCCCTTAGCCGGGGAGCCAAATATAAAGATTCAAGGGGCTGATGTGTGGATAACTAAGATTAGTCTATTAAAATCATTTTGTGGATGGCTGTAATCAAAGAAACAGAAGGATTGACAAGGATGTGAAAAAACTGGAAGCCTCAGGCCCTGCTGGTACAACCACCGTGGGAAACAGCCCGGCAGCCCCTTAATAAGTTAAACAATTACCACGTGACCAGCAATTCCAATCCAAGGATCTGCCCAAGAGAAATGAAAACACAACATCCACACAAAAATCTGTATGTGAGTGTTCACAGCGGCATCATCCACAAGAGCCAACACATAGAAACCACCCAGATGTCCATCAACTGACGAACAACGTGGATCAACCTTGAAAACATGATGCTAAGTGAAAGTAGGCCGCACAGTGCATGACTCCACTGATGGGAAATATCCAGAACAGGGAAACCCATAGACACAGAAAGCAGATGGGCGCTTGTCTAGGGCTGGAGGGTTGGTGGGGGAATGAGGAGTGACTGCTCATTGCGTATGGGTTTTCTTTCCCAAGTAATGAAAATGTCTAAAATTGGTTCTGGGGGCTCCTGGGTTGCTCTGTCGGTGAAGCTTTTGCTGTCAGCTCAGGTCCTGATCCCAAGGTCCTGGGATCGAGCCCCGCGTCGGGCTCCCTGCTCCACGGGAAGTCTGCTTCTCCCTCTCCCCCTGCTCGTGCTCTCTCTTTCTCACTCTCTCTCAAATAAATAAATAAAATCTTTAAAAAAATAAAAATAAAAACGATTCTGGTGGAAGTTACACAACTGTTGAATAGACCAAAAACCATTGAATTAGACACTTTAAATGGGTGAACTATATGGTATGCGAATCATATTCAATAAAGCTGTAACCAAAAAAAAGATCTTTTGTAAAACCAGAAACTAAACATAGCACAATCGCTGTTGTGGGGACACAATGCTGGTTTAAAAAGCAAAGATACTGGGGCCTGTTGACCCAAGTTTGAATCCTGTCTCCGCCACATAGTAGCTGATCCCGGAGAAGTTACTCGACCTTTGGGTGCCTTGGAAATGTGATAAATAGTGTGATATCTACCTCTGAGGGCTGTCATGAGGCTGATGTCAATGTCTGGAAGAGTGCCCAGCACCCAGAAAGTGCTGAAGATGTGTTTGCTGGTTTCTGTTCCTCCTACAGCCTGTCACCAGCTGGCCCAAGTGGCCGGATAAACACGGCCTCCGTTCATCTTTTAAATACATCCCTAAATCCCCATCTCCTTTGTCAGGAAGCCTGCCACAGCAGGGAAATGAGAGGTAATAACTAAGTATTTGCCCAGCTGGTTCAAGGTCACCAGGCGAGGTGAAGGACAGGGCCAGACGGCAGACTGAGGGAGCAGGCATGGGGCCTTCCCATGCGCAGGTGTGGGCTGGAAGCAGAGGCAGGCTCTCCCATGCTCTCTCTCTGCTCCCACCTGGCGCAGGCTGAGCACAGAGGCCCCCGGGGGCAATGGTCAAGTGTACCTGACTGTGGCCCCCGGGGGGAATGGTCAAGTGTACCTGACTGTGCATCCCGCTCCCCAGGATGGGGAGAGTCTCCTGGGTTATCCTGGTGGGCCCAATGTAATCACAAGGGTCCTCCTCGGTGAAAGAGGGAGGGAGGGGGGTCAGAGTGGGAGACGATGTGTTGACAGAAGCAGAGGTCAGAGTTAGGGATCCGGTTGTCTGCCGGCTGTGAGGATGGAGGAAGGGGCCAAAACGCGAGGTGTGCAGGTGGCCTCCGGAAGCTGGAAAAGGCAAGGAAGTGGATTCTCCCCTAGAGCTGCCAGAAGGAATGAATTTCCTGACATCTTGATTTTAACCCACTGAAACCCATGTGTGATTTTTGACCTCCAGAATTTTATGCAGTATTATCCATATTGATATGACCCATAAATATCCAACTCTGTATTATCATAATAAATTCGTGTTACTTCCAGCCAGTAAGTTGTGGTAACTTGTCAGGGCAGCAATAGGAGATGAATACAGACTTTAACCATCAGCATTTTTTTTCCCCCCTTTCCTAAAGGGGGTGGGAGGGGGTATGGTTTTTGCCTCTGAGCTGACCACGGCGAATTTAATCTAGCCTCCATACCAGCTAAAAGGCTTTTCCAGGAAATCACCCCTGATTGATTATTTCCTTTGCCATCTTGAAATTCCATATGCTGGCCTACAAGGCCCAGTATAATCAGACCCCTGCATCTCCCTGATCTCACTTCCCACCTCTATTCCTTCCTTACTCGCTCTGTTCTAGCCACATGGGCCTTCTTTGTGTTGTTTTTTGACAGAGAGAGCGAGCGAGCAAGTGAGCACAAGCAGGGGGAGCAACAGAGGGAGAGGGAGAAGCAGACTCTCCACTGGGCAGGGAGCCCAATTCGGGGCTGGATCCCAGGGCCCTGGGATCATGACCTGAGCCGAAGGCAGACGCTTAATGACTAAGCCACCCAGGTGCCCCCTCCATTGTGTTCCTTGAACACACCCATTCCTACCTCAGGGCCTTTGCACTTTCAGTGGCATCTGCCTTGAATGCCCCACCCCACCTCACCCACACTTGCTTCAGATCTCAGCTCAGATGTCACCTCCTCTGGGAAGCCTTCCTGACTGCTCCATCTATTAGATCCCCATCCTGGCCAGTCTCTTTCATATTGCCCTGTTTTATTTTCTTCATGTCACTTATCATAAGCTGAAAATTTAAAAACTTTAAAAAAAAATCTCCTCACACTAGAACTGCACCATCCAACAGAGTAGCCACAAGCCACATGGGGCTGCTGAGCACTTGTTAAATATGCACCAGATTTCAAAGACATAGGGAAAAAAATGCAAAATATTTCTTTTTTTAAAAATTTTTGGGGTAACTATGTGAGGTGATGGATGGTAACTAAATTTACTGTGGTGATCACTTCACAATATACACAAATATCAAATCATGATGCTGTACACCTAAAACTAATACAATGTCACGTATCAATCAGATCTCAATAAAAAATATTTTTTTTACGTTGATTACATATAGAAATAGTATTTTGCATAGGTGGGGTTTAATAGGATATGTTATTAAAATTAACCTCGTCTGTGTCTTTTTATTAATAGAGGACAAGCCACATAATTTTTCTATGGGAGAGCACTGCAGTAGAAAGTCAGGCCCATGAGGGCAAAAACCTCATCTGTTGTGGTCACCGCTGTCTCCCCAGTGCCTAGAACAGTAGGTGCTCAATAAACACATGTGTTGAATGAGTAAATGAACAATATACACTGTTAACATTATAGACAACTGTATCTGCATAGCCATCACTTTCTAATCCTATTTGTATTTTTCCTGTCTTCCCAGTTACCCACCCACTGCCTGAGATGAGGATCCAGCTTCCCCTGTCTCTGCACTGCCCATGTCACCCAGGAGGGCACCTTGCATGCCGTGGCCCATCCACAAGGTTGCAGACTGAGTAAGCAGATCGAACATGTTAAGCCTGTGGCCTGAGTCTGTGTGATGAGCAGAACTGACTGAGTTTGGGAGTGTGCTTGGGGGAAGGGTTGGTGGAAGACCGGGTGCATGCTTTACTGGAGCCACGTGTGCTGAGAGAGAAAGAGTGTGGGGGGGGGGCAGGCAAAGGAAGGAAGGAGGAATGAACAGACAAACCGATAAGACCAAGGACATGCTCAGAAGATTTTTGTGGAAATAGCACCGTGAAGAGCCTTTGAGATTACAAGAAAGAAAAATCAGATGAGTCTCTATTGATCCTAAGAATACAGAGAAAAGGGGACCAGGGCTGGGATGGGAAAAGGGTTTTGTCCTCTGATTTATGAGAAATCATCCTCAGTGTTTACAACAAGCCCCGGCTCTGAGCACGCTGGGGTTTACTTCCTGGCTGATAGCGTTCCAGAAGTGACAAGTGCAGCTGGTTGGGAATTCCATCTGACTCCAGGCCTAGTGGCCTCCGATGGCTCCCAAGGGTGTCTCCCAGCCCAGTTGCTGCAGAACTCAAACGCCAAGGGTGGGGACACAGGTGCCAGGACTTCTGAGTGACCTGGGCTAAGCTCCTAGGCCCCGGTTAATAAGAGGCAGCCACATGACAGGATTTCAAAGATCCCTTCCCCCAACTCTCTAAGAGAGATGGGGGGTGGTGAGGGTGTGGGGTAGGAGGAGCGGTGCCGGAGATGGGGGTAGGGTCTCTATGAACACCTCCCTGAAAGCCTCTCCAGGACTAAGGACAACAGTTAACACTTGTAAGGCCCTCATAATGGGCCAGACTCTGTCCCAAACACTTTATATAAGTTAACCAACCCTTTCCACCACAACCCCATGAGATGTGTGCTATTATCATCCCCATTTTACAGCTCAGGAAACAGGCACAGAGAAGCGAGGTGACTTGCCTAAGATCACACCATGGCAGGGTTTGAAACCAGGCCGTGTAGCTCCAAAGTCCCTGCTCTGGGGAATTTGACATTAATTACAGGGCCGGGGCATTTTCAAGCTCTCAGTGTGATCTTGGAAATGTTGCCTAACACTTGGGAGCTTGAGTTTCCTTCTTGACCTCAGGGCATAAGGACCTGTGAGGACAAACACCGTCAAACCTCACAAACACTAGTGCTCTTAACCACTCACAGCTCTGCCCCCAGATTAAGACACAGCCACCGATAGGGCTATTTTCCTTGAAACACAATAGGTTATGGCTTGCCAGGGAGGTTCAGAGAGGCCAAGTGTATTTCCTGAGGCCACACAGCAAGCCGGAGCCCACTCAGGCACCCTGATTCCTCCAAGGAAAGGCGTTTCCTCCTATTCTCTGTCCAAAGGGTCTGACAGAATCTTCCTCGGGCTGAGGTTGGGGCAGGAAACCACACATCTCCCACTTCCTTTTCCCCAGGCACCTTGTCTAGACTCCCAGCCCAGTAGGGACGCCCTGATTCATGTTCTTGGAGGGATTCTTGTTCATAGGGCAGAGGCTTAGCTTTAAAGCTGCCCCAAACCATGTCCATCCCCCAAATCAGGGAAGAAGCACTAGAGTTACCTCTATTGGGACTGGGATTCTCTCAGCACTAATGTGGGACAAATTCCCCCCCCCCCAATTTTCTTCATCTGTAAAATGAAGATAGTTCCTGCCTCACAGAGTTCTGTGAAGATTAAAGATAAAACCAAGGAGAGAAAAGCACTTCAGGTTATTAAACTAGAAGAAACCCTGGGAAACAATTTGCAAATAGAATTCCAGAGATTGGGGGGTCAATGAGCTCCGTGGCTGGAGGTCATATCCCCTTTGCTCTGGGGGGTTTTGGGGTGAGAAGAAGAGAGGGGCTTGATGTCAGATCTTCTTGGGTAACACTGAAGGGCAGAGGGCTTATTTCATTTCTGGAATATAATATTACCTAAGCACTTTAGATATATCCCACTTAATTCTTATAAGGTGGGTCTTACTACTATCACTATCTGACATGCGAGGAAATAAAGCACAGAGAGGTTGAGTAACTTAACCAAGGTCACACCGCTATTACATGGTAAAGGTAGGACTGGAACTCAGGTCTGACTCCAAAGAACTGCCCTTAATCTCTGAAGCGGTATATGCCAGAGAGCGCTGGCTGGACAAAAGAGGGCCGGGGGCCTCCCTCCCTTCGTCTTTCACCCCCAGTCGGGTCCCTTCTCATCTAGTCCCTGCATACACACAGCGTGCACCTACAGCTGCCCGACGCTGAAGGGCCCTTAGGTCCCAGCGGCCCCATTCCCCGGATGGGCAGACTGAGGCCGCTCGCTGCCCACCTTCTGGTGCTTGCGCTCCTTCTCGATGCGGTCCATCCTTTCCAGACGCAGGCGGTCCAGCTCCAGGCGCAGCTCGTCCAGCTCAGGCGCGACGTGGTGGCGGCTGACCAGCACCTCCAGGATCTCCAGGACACGCACGACCTTGGGCATGAGGCGCGCGATGGCCTCGCAGCCGTGCTGGTCGATGACCCGCTCGAACTCGTGGCCCACGAGCGACGCGATGTCGTACACGTCCATGACGGTCAGCTCCGCCACGTTCTTCTCCAGCGCCGACTCGGCCGCCAGCGACGACCCCCGGTCCTCCTCCATGGCGCCCCGCCCGGCCTCTCCCCCACCCCGCAAACTAGTGCAACTCCCAAACTTGCCGCTGTCGAGGGCAGCGCCGGGCCGGGCCCACCTCGCGCCGCCGCCGGCGGTCCGCGCTCAGCTGGCCCCCGGCCCCCGCACCGGCAGATCCGGCTGTGCTCGCAGGCGTCTAAGGGTGCGAGGCAGGAGGGCGGCGCCGGGCCGGGCCCCGCGAAGGCGCAGGCGGGCACGAAGGTCTGGCGCCGGCGCTCGGCGCACGCGGCGTTGACGCACGGGCAGAAGAGCAGCGCGTGGGTG